CCCTGACACTAATCAGCCTGGAGGTTGATTCAGGGTTCTATCTGTGAGTTAGCCATGCCCTGACACTAATCAGCCTGGAGGTTGATTCAGGGTTCAATAAAATTTGAAGGTTTTTTCCCAAAAATATTTACGCCCCAAATCTAAGAGCAATTCCTCTGTAAGTTAGCATTAATAAAACACTCTAGTCATTCATTATGGTAAAACTCTAAATCCTCATAACACAATCATGATGTTTGAAAAAATGACTACCTTTAGCATCCACTGGGATTGGTTGTACTTTCCTTTTGACTGCAGTGCCTGGCTTCTTTCTTTTTGGTTTTGAAGATTCACCAGCTTTATGACAAAGAACAAATAATTTGTTAGGTAGTTTCTCAAAGAAAGTTAATTGTTGATTTAAGCAATCTGTACTGCACTGTAAGTCAGTGGTTGGTAATGCTTGGTCTCATTCATAAACCTCACCCATGATTTTGCTTCTCTCAGTCCGAACAAATTAGCCAATCAGTGAACACTTTGTTTGTGGCTTAATATTTCCTAGTTCCAGGTTTGCTGCTCGATACACATTGAACAGCTTTTAATTGAAAAAAAAAAGTCATTTGTGGAAAGTTTTACCAAATATCTTTTAGAAATAGCATATTTTGTTGTTGGTGATGAAAAATATTGCATTTTGACAAGAGATATTAGAAAATACTTGGAAATTTCAACTTTGGCCAACAATGCACTTGGGTGTCTAGACTCTAAATCACTGCTTGGTCCACAACAGGGTGGGTCTAGGGGGTTGTCTACGGCATGTACTGCATAAAAATCAACTTATATCAACTAGTTGTAATCAACTGGAATTTCAGTGAATGAAGAGCCACTCTGTCTGTGGAAAGCCACTGCTAAATCCCATTTCTTCTTCATTTTATTTAATATTTTAGTGTCCCTTTTTTTGCTATTTATGATGATTAAATCCATGTACGTTGGTTGATATGATTAGACTTTAGAATTCTTTAGATAAATGTTATATTCTATAGTGAGCTGGTTGGTTGTTTTTCTTTCTCCCTTTATTGATTATCTTCCTTTTTGAACTCCTAGATCCTAGAGGGTAGCATGGGTGCCGTTCGCGGCTAAYGCGTGGTCTTTCACCACTGTGAGTCCAACGGGCCACTGGTTCGAGCCCTGAGGTCGCCACATGTGAAGTGAGTTTGTTTGATGTGTTGTTCTCTCCTATGCTAGGTGGGTTTTCTCCGGGTTCTCCGGTTTCCTCCCTCCGTAAAGATCAACATGTGAGTTGAGAGTTGTGTGTATAAATATTTGAATGTAGTAAGGAGTGTGTATGGAGGATATAGGGCCCCACAAGCTTCTAGCTGTAATGCCTACAGTGTATAAAWAAAAAAAAATTGATTTGATTTTAGATCTGCCCGTGAATAATATCCTGTTCCACACATGTTCAGTATGTGCAATAAATATGACGAGAGAGTTCCTAACCTTGTGCTGGGGCAGTAGCATCAGGTGTGGCTTGTGGACTTACAGACATCTTTGGTTTCTTAGATTTTGGTCTTGAAGTCTTTGGTTTGTCAGTTTTCTTATCCTTAGCACCGGGTATAGGAGGAACTGAAACATGCAAATCAAGTTATATTTTTCGAGTGACTTAAAATCTCAGATGTCTGGAATTTTGGTTCTTTGTCTTGACTACAAAATTGTGACACTGAATTCTCATTATCAAGTTGCTGTAATTTTAAAAGTTATATGAAGAACCATGCCACCCGTGGAGGGTCAAATCTCAGCTGCTGTAGCGTTGACAGCGGATGCTGTCCATGCAATAAAACAAGTGTGTAGGGTTTATTTATACTGCTCCATGCTAATTATTTATTTGGTGCGAATAGATGTAAGAGCAGGTAGACAAATGGAGGACTGGCTATATGATAAGAGAATAATAATATTTAAGTACTGCACATGTTACCATAGACATGTTACCATACCTTCTGTTAACTGTATAGCAGTCTTTGGTGGCTGGGTAGTTTTGTTTTGTACTACTTGCTTGGCTTGTGTTACTGTTTTAGCTTGTACTGGTTCTTTTTCTGCTGCTGTTGTCTTGTTTTGTGAAGGAGATTTGTTTTGAGCCACAGGCTTGCTGCTTCCAGATGCTTTCTGTTGTACTGCTAGCTTTGCAAGGTTTCTTGCTTGAGAAGTTAGTTTTGCCTGTAGTGCATTCTTAGTCTTCAAATGCTGCCCTAGTCCCTTAACAGCATTTCCTTTCTCTTCTTTTCCTTTTGTTAATGATTTTTTGACTTTCATTTTAGTTTGTGGTTTGTGTTTTTCTAAGGGGACATCAGGGAACATTATTGGTGCAGGTGCATCTTGAGGTAAGGAACTAATACCATGGGGCTGTAAGACACCTGCTTCTGTAGCAGCTTGGTACTGAAACAGCCTTTTCAACAAGAACCTGTGAAAATCAAGATGACACTTCTCAACATATGCATCATATCTTATGTATATCTGAACCACAAATTATTCACAGAGGAGATACTGTATAATTGTCAGACTATTTCATAGTTAATGCACCAGCAGGGCCAAAAATAACAGCTGGTCAGCCACCAGTCAGGATGACCAGCCAAATTAGTTTTACCTTGGTCATACCTTGTTTCTGGCTCAACCTTACTGGTTAAAATGGCTGGCAATGCAAGGATTTGAATAGACAAGTTCCAGTTCTGGCTACACATTGTTTGATGACAAGCCGTTGTTTTTTGAGCAACATCAACAACACAACTTATACTAATCTAGTCTATTTTGGTTTTCACTTTTCCTGACTTACTTTCTTTCTGCTTTAGCTCTTGTCAACTTGGCTTCTGTTCTTGTAACATCGTCACACGCAGCAGCATTTAACTATATCAGAATAGAATATACATTCACAAAATAAATAGTAATATCTGATGGAAGGCCTCTATAAAAGGTGTTCAACATTAAAATGTAGCCATACTATACTACAGCATATAGATGCAACTACTATGGTAGGTAAAAACACCAAAATGACCAGGGGTGGGGGGTTAGTACTCCCAAAGGGCAAACATCATTAGTTGCTATGGAGCATAATTCAAAGACACCTTAAGTTAACATGTTCTCTATATCGGAACAAAATTGGTTACTTACAAATATGAGTTCCTTGACCATTTTTCTTAAAGAGTAGTACTTGCTTTTGTAGTCATGATGATTGCTTGCTTTAACTACCTTTGATCTTGGTGATGCATTAATACTATAGTTATCCATACTCTTCAAAAACAATAAGAAAATCCTGTATATTAACAACATATTATGCCAGTAACAGGGCTCAAAATAGCGGCCTAGCAATGGCCAAATGGCGATGCTCTGCCAAATGAATAAAAATATGACATGCAAAATTTACTGGAATGACCTCCCTTTACCATGCTCCTTAACTATGGCAGTGAAAAAGCAAATTTTTATTTCAAGCCCTGCAGTAATTGTATTGACTGAGATATACAAGGAGAGTATTAAGACTAGTGATACAGCTGTACTACACAATACATGTATCAAAGTACATACCTCTGACTGATCTTCTCCTGAATCTGAGCTGCCATCTGATTCTATATCATCAACATCAACATCCTAACATTATGTTGGAAGAATCAAAAGACAATCATGAGATATATCATCATAAGCATGGTAACACACTGTATTTAATTATTTCTGCAATGTTCCACGTGATGAAGTGTCAATGAAGAAGACCAATGATGGTTTTGGTTGAAATATCCACATTTTTCAATTATTGTATGGGATAAAAAATTATACAATGCTTTCTTGTAAGTCAAAATGAAATATCCTATTACTTATATTTTCTTACATACTCACTTAGAGCAGTTTTCGTATGACTGTGAAAAGCTCACGGCACAAGCACGGTCATGTGACATGGCAAGGAATACAAGCCAGACCAATCACATTGCTCAAGGAGTTCCTCCTCATCCAATCAAATGCCCAAAACAGGGCACGAACACAGTGCGGACAAAATCACGCCAAAGTCATGGCACTGCCAGACCAATAGAAATGCGTGAGAAAAAATATCAGCCATTCAAAATGCTTGAAAACATCACTGTTGTGGCAAGGCACGCATACGTCACCAAGCTTTTCACAGTCATACGAAAACTGCTCTATAAACCTCCAAGCACAGGAGAGAACCAACAAACAACTCTTCTCACATACGACACCATCAGGACTTCAACCTGGGTTGCATTAATGATAGGCGGCACATTAGCAGCACATGCCACCCATGCTATGTACTTATTGACTGAGTGGGAGGGCTGTACGGGAAAATATTTGGCTCAAGGTAATGTTGTACGGACCGAGCGCAGCGAGGTCCGTACAAATGACYGAGAGCCAAATATTTTCCCGTACGGCCCGACCTAACTCAGTCAATAAGCATTTTATCATATGACCCTCACGAAAATAAAACTAATTAAGAAAAAGAAAGCGCGTGGATTCGAGCAGGGCCGGACAGGTTTTTCCGGCCCGCTTACGTCAACCCGTCCGGCCCCAATCACGTGACTTTTTCCAATGGTTTTATTAGAGTGTGCGAGCAGGGCCGTACGGGTCATATGATAATTCTCTATATGTCATATATGCATACACATGTCATATATTGTATATACTGTAAATGCATTACACATATTATATTGACAAAGGATGATCATCACTTACCAGAAGGGCAAACCATCCTAAACGACCTTCAATTCTTTTAAACTTTGAATGATCATTAAATGTCTAGAATGAAAAAATGAACATCAAAACTTTAACAAAACAACCCAAGCCCTATCTGTCTGCCGTCTGGAACAAACTACAAGTTAAAAGAAGTAATTAATCTTTAGTCTAATTATAATAGATAATCATAGAATAGATTAACAAAAGAAAAAAATATGGATTTTTAGCATTGAGTAGTTTCAGTTCTTATTTAGGATGCTCCACTTTCGAATTTTTTGATTTCCAGTAAAATATTCAGGTCGTAGTTCCAATATAGGTATGGGCAGTTTCAAAGTGTGTGTATCAACACTGACCTATTTACAGTTCTGTTCAGTGACCACAGATAAAAGTTCCAAGTTGGAGTAATTGCTGCCCATTTGCTAAAATATAGTTTATCATGCCCAGCAACTACAACCTCATCTTGGAACTATTATTCATAGTCACTAGTGATTTTGTGAATATTTTGATGTTGAAATGAGGCTAGTAAATGAGTATGTGATAAAGCAACACAGGCATATTTTATGCATTGCTATCAACACAAAACATTTGGTAAGACTTACTTCTTTATAGAGGATTGACTCCAGATTGGCAAGAGATTTGGCACTAAAAATAAAATAAATAAAGACCAATTTATTTTTCATGGTTCAGCTATGGTAAGTATTATAAACTGGAGAATTGATATCTAAAATCAATACCTTTGAGGTATAAGGCCATATTCCACCATCTTTTCTTCTAAATCTTTGATGTGTAATTTTCCTCCTTCAGCTATTAGCACTTTCTAAAAAGTGGGAGGAATGAACTTGAACTTTTGTTTATTTACACACATATTAATGTTTACAAGTAAGTATATATATATAATACAATTTGAAATAAAATAAGAGATTTTTTGAGGAAAAGAATTATCAGTGTTGTTCATCATTGGTACAGTGTGTGCGGTTGTCGAAATAGTGTAAACTTTCAAATATTATAATGACGAAAAGGTAAATTATACACTGTGAAAAGATGATTCTGTTTCATTAGAAATTCATTCTGCATCCTGTTTCATTCTGATGATACTGTTTCATTAGAAACACCGACGCAGCTCACACTAGTTTTTAGCTAGTTATATCTTTTCAAATATTATACTACTTAAAAATCATTGCTCCATTTCAAAGTAAAATTGTTTGAGTTTTTTAAAGAGCACTTTGTAGAATATTGTAACACAAAAATATTAACATGTAGTTCCAGAAACCACCCACAGAAGAAATTGGAAATTGTGTAGGGGAGGGGGCTCAGAGAAAGAACAGGATTAAATATTTATTGAATGTATGATAAAATAATTATTGAAATCGGTTTTACACATAATATTGTAAATTATCAAGACCTCAGCTCTTTTATGCGCCGGTAGCCTAAGACTTCGGCAGATAATGCGGCCATGGTCATGATAATTTATAATACATTGTTCAACTTCATCCAATCATTGTTCAATATTAACCAACCTCTGCAGCATCAAGTAGTGTCCTGGCTGTAAGGTCAGGTTTTGGCATTTCTCTAAAAGAAATAAAAGAATAAAATACAATATTATTATGGGATAAACATAGGATAAATATAGATTAGTTTTACTCCACCTTTGAAATTGTTAGCAATTGCTTACATTTGCAGCTAAATATGGAGTAATGAAGGTTAGGCGTTACTTTTATTGTGTCCATTTGACTATTGAAAACATACATTTCACAAGTATTTTTTTGTTACACAAGTTTGTTTTTTTTTTTTTTGTTCATTATTTGTGCTGCAGAAAAGGGTTGGATGAGGGGAGTAATGAGTAAATAAAATATAAAAATAATTCTCCCTCCAACCTTCCATTGGCAAGCCAATGTGTTTCTCTAACCCAGTTTATTTGCAATATTTTGAAGACAAGTATATAACTCATCCATTATTTCGAGACCCCACTTTGCAGGTCACTAAACTTACAGATCCCTAATCTTTCTCAGTGCCTCGTGGTCCAAGCGCGAGCTTCAAATTAAGCTCAGCCTGAATCGAAACGAAGTATATCCGAACAGAGTAATAAAATAATAATTTTCTATGACATACTCATCGTTATTGTCCAAGGGTGTTTGATGTAGACTAGACATCTGGTCGAGGTAAGGAAAAAGAGACGCGCCTCCAATCTCTCCTTGATTCCCTGAAGRCAAAGAAAACGAATCCAAAGCACTAGGAGATATCGATGTAGACAGCTGTATGTTTGGTTTATCCATATCTATGAGGAATAAAGGGTTAAATGGAACCAGAATGTCGACATTTTCACCCAAAACAAATCCACCATCTTGGATTGGGATGACTATGCGCATGCGTAATAAGATGACTTCTGCTGACAAACACAGGAAACCCAACTTCTTCATTCATGACTGTGCGTGTTGTCGCCCAAAAGAAATGAAAAAGAAGTGAAAAGTCTAATAGAATGGTTCGAAAAAATATATACATAAAAAAGAAAAACAATTTTAATCCACGGTTGTAATTCTTTTCAAGTATCTTTAAAAGGAAAAAAAGATTGCGTAGGTATACGGTGGTTTAGGTCAACCATCCAGAAAATAACTCTCCTCATACGAGCTTGACTCGGTGTCTTGATTGCCCAAGTTTTTCCCACTGCGCCACGGTTTTATTAATAAGCATAACAATAGCCGTGAAAACAATGCACC